CTGATCACAACTTGAGAGAAAATGGTGGATAGAGATGTTTACCCTCAAAAATGGATAACAATTAAATTTGTAAGTGGTTTTCAGAATACGTGGATTTATTCAATACAAAAGATAACAATTGCTAGAGTGAACAAATAAAAGATATAATAAATTATCAAACCGCTTGAAAATAAAAGGGGGGTTGTTTCTGGACTCAAGGGCAGCCTCAATAAGGTTTCCATCTTCGATCTAGGCTCACAAAGACCAGCACTGATGAACAAGAATAAGAACAAAGAAAATAACGGTATATTGCCTTAGTATGCGTGTGTTACAATGTGTCAAATGAATAATCAGACTCCCCTTTATATAGTAGGGGAGCTTTACCCTAAGTACAATTCTATAAAAGATAATCAATCTGTTCAACTAATCACCGATACGTGCCGAGATCCACGCCGTGATATCCGGCCGGTCGCGGATATTATGGCCTACTGTTGGTCGTGCTTGGTTGCCTGACAACGTTCTCCGAAGCCTTTTAGGATTTGGACCGATCCCGGATCATGGCCCCGATATTCTTGAGGGTGGGGGTCATGCCCCCGGACTCTGACTCGATGAGACCCTTGCCTCGATTCCAGTCCCTTGTCACCATGCCTCTTGTTCGATTTATCTTATCGGAGGCCGGGTTGTACCATGAGTTCGGTTTTACCCTATACAAGAGAGATAATGATCCTTCTAATTAAATGCGTATTAGAGCCTTTTTAGTTTCTGCATAATAACTCACTTTAAAACCAATAATCTCTTATATAGTCACCCTATTTAGATTCATTTCTTTTTTTTTAGCAAACCACTAGGTATAGCCTAGGGCTAGTTTTTATTTATGTAAAATTAAAATACAACTTGTGAAAATGTTCTAAAAAATGTACTGAATAATCCTTGCATATTACATGTAACCTATTATCAAAATTGAGTAATGTACTCAAAATTGATATCACATAATGACAAGTAAAAATTGCATAATACAAAACTAGCCCATGAGAGTAGCCCGTATAATTTGGCCCAAGTAAGGTCTTCCATCGCACAACATCCCATCCCAGCGTTACATATGGCTTGCATAATAGCCACAAATTTCCGCTTCTTTCAATTGCAAGTATAGTCATTTTAATTGCATCCTTTTCAATGTACACGTGTTTTCTTGTATTGATCCATTTATAACCTTCTTTGTTGCATTTAGTCCTGTTATTTCACTCCATTTATTAATTTGCTCACGCCTGTATGTATCATAGGTATTAACGACTATCCATGTGTTCACTTCAAAGCTCATTTGTGCTCCAACTTTGCCTTGTCTTCTCTGCCTTTGTTGTCCTGCTATTGTCCTTCCTTGAATCACCCCATTGCTACAACATATTTTCCTTTGTTCAGGTGTGCCTCTGTATCTGGAATTACCTGCTGCATGCGGTTTTTGAGATGCCTTTATGCCTGAAGATGCTCCATCCTGTGTGCTGCATATACTATGATAGTAGATGGTGGATTGCCAAGTTTTGTATGTGATGCTCTTGACCAGTAGACTGCACCGCATTGCCTCGTTTGGATTGCATGTTGAAGCTCCAGTCGATTTTGCTACATTAATACACCTGCAGATTGTCATGAGGACAAATATCACCTCCTGTTGTTGTATGTTGCTTTTATTGTTTGATTTTTTGTATGCCTGACCCCCTGTATGTAATGCCTTGTATCCCTCCTTATGTTTTATTATTTTCTTCCACAGGTGCATCATCCAGCTGGATTCCCTCAGAGTGGGAATTTTGCTCTCTGCAGGCTGTGTACCTGTATGACACCATATCATTACTTGTTTTGTTTTTGTGTTTGTTTTTATTGTCTTTCTTCCAAGAATGTGATATCCTGCTCTCCTCTGTGATAATATGTGACTCCTGACCAATCTTAGGGTGTTATTATAGGACCCTAACACCCTTGTCAGCCTTCTCTTTGCTTCCCTCAAGAATTTGCATTTCACATTCTTTCCACCACAAACTGTGGACTTCCCTGTTACTATGCCATACTCTATATTTAATTCCTCCCCGATGGACTGAGTACTTAGTACTAATACCACCACGTGGGGTTTCCTTAAAATATAGAATATAGATAGCATTGGTGTACCTGCAAAAAAGAACACATCATTAGTAAAAAAGTGATCCCTCATGCTCTCCGCTATACTGGTTTGAACATGAAGAATGTCAATATTAGCTCTTGTTTCTCTTTCTCTCCCAAACTCCATTCCTTCTCCTATTTCCTTGCTACCTTGACTCTTAAATATGGGCATTGCATCTTGTCCTCATTTACTATCTTTCTGCCTTTAGCATCCAGGTCCCAGAATCCATAGCATTCAATGTCTCCCACATCTAAAGCATGATTTGCTAGGTGGTCTGCTAAAGAGTTTCCTTCCCTGTATATATGAGTTATTCTGAAATTAAATTCACCTTTCAATCTTAGAATCTCATCTACCTGATCAATAATGCACCAAGGAGGCTTCCATGATCCCTCAATTATGTTTTTCAAAAGTAATGAATCAGTCTGCAACCATATCTGATTATAATTCATTGTTTTGCACATCTTCAAAGCCTCCACAATTGCTTTTGCTTCAGCTTCATTATTTGTTCCCTCATTGATCTCCTTACCTTGTGCATATTTGAGGTCCCCTGCTTCATCTCTTAAGCAGAAACCTATAGAACTTCTTCCTGGATTTCCCTTACATGCTCCATTAGTGTTAATCTTGATCCATCCAACTTCTGGTAGCTCCCATATCACCTTCTCATGCTTCAGCTTTGGTGTATATTGTTCCATCATGTACAGAAGATTTGACCACCTGTGAGGAACCTTTACACCTGGCTTCCTTAGTTGCACCAAGTTCTGCAATGTTATTGATAAATTACCCTGCTTACTGAAACAACATCCCCATATTTCAAGCTATTCCTCCTTTTCCATAGTTCCCAGGTAATACATGCTGGTAGTGCCTGCATAATTGGCTTTAGTCTAGGCACAACTGGGGCTGTCCAACACCTAGTGATAGCTTGATGTAGTGTCAACCCATGTACTGCAATCCCTGCTCTATCTAAGAAAAATCTCCACACCAATTCTGCAGCTTTTGATGTAAAGAACAAATGTACAAGTGATTCTTCCTTAGGTTCAGCACAACACCAGCACCTAGATGGAATTAGATAGCCCAATTTCTTCATAAAGTCATCCAGAGGTAGTTTAGCTTTCCAAACTTTCCACATAAAGAATGAAATTTTGAATGGACGCCCGTTTACCCATATCACCTTATAGGCTACCCTAGGATCTTCTCTTCTTCTCAAGTATTCCCATGCTTTCTTCACTGAAAAGTTACCTCTTGTTTCAAGCATCCAAAATGGAATATCAAGGACATTTTCCTGGGATGGAGGATTAATCTTCCCTATTATGTGCATGGCCAGTTCTTCTGGGAGAGTCTGCAATAACTTATTAGTATCCCATGCTCCACTGTCCACCAAGTCCCTCACATTGATTATATCTTCATCTATGCCAAAGTTCTGTGGAACTAAAAAATACAGAGCTCCCAATCCAGGCCAATTGTCATACCAAAACATTGAAGATCCCATTCTTACCTTCCAAAAGATCTGATGCTCTATTAAGTCTCTGCATTCAAGCATTTTTCTCCAAACATGAGACCCATTCCTCCATGGCACAACTACTGCATTCAATTTCTTGCAGTACTTCTGACACATAAAGGAACTCCATAGACTAGGTTTAGTCCTAAAATTCCACCACAGCTTGCAAAAGAGTGCTTTGGACACATCATGTAATGACCTGAAACCTATTCCTCCTTCCTCACATGGCATACATAAAGTGTTCCATGATGCCCAATGTCTGCTATGACCTCCCACAGCACTGCTCCAAAAGAATTGGGCAAAGATCTTGTGTAACCTATTTATCACATAGTTAGGAGGATTTACTGCAGACAGCAAGTGTACTGGCATGCTTTGCAAAACACTGGAGATCAGCACAGCTCTCCCCCCTATAGATAATATCTTTCCTTTCCATGCCTGTAACTTGTCCATTGCCTTTGATATCATAGGTTGATAGTATTCAAGTTTCCTCCTTGCATATAAAATAGGACACCCCAAATAAGTGAAGGGAAACCCTTGCCTCCCAAAGCCTGTTACCCTTTCAACCTTTCTAACAACCTCCGAATCTGTTAAGTGGTGCATGTATACAGCTGATTTACTTCTGTTAATCAACTGACCTGAAGCAGCTTCGTACAAGTGGAGAATTTCCTTGTTTAACACCTCTAGAAGATTTAAAAAACCCATGTGCTTGGCCATTAACCAATACTGAATACCAGTTATTGCCCACCAAATCAAAGATCATTCCAATGAACCTTTCACAGAAATCAAATTTCCTCAACATCTTGGTTAAGAACAACCATGATACCCTGTCATATGCCTTTGTCATGTCAAGCTTAATCACCACATTTGGCCCAGCCCTTGTTCTAAGCCTAATGTCTTTTATAATCTCCTGAGTTTAAAGAACATTTTCTACTATACTCCTCTCCTTCACAAAGCCTGCTTGTTCTTCTGAAATTAAACCAGGCAATAACTCCACCAACCTTTCATGAATAACTCTTGAAAAGATCTTGTTGATGAAATTACTTAAACTGATTGGTCTCAGATCAAAAAATGTGGTGACCTCTTTCTTCTTTGGCAAAAGTACTAGGTTTGTATGAGTGACATATTTTGGCAACTGCTGGCCATTACAAAATGCTAGCACCATTGCATAAATATCCTCTCCTACAATATCCCAACATGATTGATAAAAGGCTCCAATATATCCATCCGGTCCACTTGCTGCTTCCCCATTCAGGCCATTTACTGCATTTTTAACTTCTTCTCTTGTGGGGATTGCTATTAATTTTTCATTTTGCTCATCTTCTATTAATCTAGGTACATGTTCCATGATATGAAGACTGATGGAACTCCTGATTCTGTGAATTGCTACTTATAGAAATTAACTGCCTCTTCTGCAATTTGTTCATCTTCTTCCAACCAGCTGCCGTTACTATCTTGGATCCTTTTTAATTGTAACCTTTTCCTCCTTCCTCTAACTTGAGCATGAAAGAACTTGGTGTTTCTATCACCATCTTTGAACCATGACATTCCTGCTTTTTGCTTCCAGAACTCCTCCTCTAGTGCTAAATATTTCATCAGTTCTGCCTGCACCTTCTTTAATCATTCTCTATTCATCTGAGTTGGATATGCCTCAAAGTGTCTTTCAATGTACAAGTACCACTTCTTCTAGGCTAGCAATCTTCTGAAAAATATCACCATATGTTGTTCTGCTCCATGATGATAAAACCTTCTTCAACTTCTTTAGTTTGTGGTTAAACAGCACAAATGGATTTGCACAAAAATCTGCTGTCCAGTTCTCTTTCACCACTGCTTTAAATGATTCATGCTTAGTCCAAAAGTTCAGAAATCTGAAAGTTTTCTTGATAGGATGTGTTCCAATATCACATTTCAGTAGCATGGGACAGTGATCTGAGCAAGTCTTAGATAAATGAGTAAACTCCAAACCTGGAAAAATTTCCTGCAGTTCTACATTCCCCAAGCACCTGTCAATCCTTTTAATTATACAATCATCCTCATATCTTCCATTCCACCAGGTAAATATGCTCCCTTTGAACCCCAAATCTGACAAGTTACAAGTATTTACACAGTGCCTAAAATCATCTATTTCATTCAGTGATACTGGCAGACCACCAAATTTCTCCTCTTCATCCCAAATGACATTAAAATCTCCCCCTACAAGCCATGGGGAAGTCATATCAGATGCCATTGCATACAATGAATCCCACAGTTCTATTCTCTCAATATGATCACATTTTGCATAGACCAATGTTAGGATCAGTACTACATGTGTTTCAGTGTGAAATAGATTCAGAGTCAACTGCTGCACCATGTTGTACATAATGTCCACTTCATATACCTCATCAATAAATGCCCATATTTTGTTTGATACATTTACTACTGCCTGAGCAAGTCCTATCCTTCTTATGTATCTTTCCACCTTATTAGCTTGCTGCATGGGTTCCAATATTCCTATGAATTCAAAATGATGCTGTCTCTACATAAGAATCAATCTTTCAAAGGCCTGCATAGTATTGACAGACCTGACATTCCATATAATTGCATCCATTAGTGGTTAAGAGATTTAAAGAGGGTTCTCCTTGTTTGGACTCCACCAGTTGGAACAGTTTGATTTTCTTTATGTTGCTTCTTTTTTCCTTTTGCTGCAGACTTGACTTTCTCAATTTGTCTGGGTGAAAGATCTCCTTGTTTGGTAATATTGAGAAAGTTTTGTGCTGTGGACTCTTCATCCATATCCTTTCCTGTCAGTTCCTCTCCTTCTATTGCTGCACCCTCTGCAACCTCCACTACAGTAGAGGTCCTCTGAATTGTTATTGCTGCTTTCTCATTAACTGTGTTAGGTGCCAATATAACTTCTGTTGCCTCATCAACTTGTTGCTTCTGCTTTGCTGCTATATTTGGAACAGCTTTCATTGGTGACATGCCTGTAGGATCTACAGAAGTTCCTCCTTCAGTTCCTCCTGGATCTATGTTGTTGCCATCTATTTCCTTAGAATTCTCTTGTTCAGCCACATTGCCTTTATTGATGCTCCCTTTCTCATTGTTCTGCTTTTGACCATTACTTTCATCTTCTGTAGTCTTCTTGTCTTGTTCTTCTGAATTTTTGGTATCTTTAGCCTTCCCATTGACATCTTGATCTCCTTCATCAAAATTGTCTCCCCCAATTTCTTCCTCACTTTGCATTGCATCAGGAATCAATCCTTCTTCAGGTTCTTCTTCAACTTCTTCAGACCATAATTTACCTCCCTTCCATTTTGCTTTTTCATTGTGTTGAAAAATCTCAAACTCTGTATCTTGTATGTGATCATTGTCCTTCCCCTTTGCAAGTGCCAACTCAACTCTAGTATCCTGTGAAGTATGTCTTGGACTGATGTGTTTGTGGCCACAATGTTTCCATTAAAGGCCCTTTGCACCCATGCTGCAGTAGATTGTAGGACTTGCTGTTCATACTCCTTCCTTTCCTTGGTCATTGCTTCTTCTTTTTCTATTAATTTACTCAGTTTTGCTGGTGTAACACTAGCAGCTTGTACTACACCTGTATCTCTCTTTCCTCCATTCTTTCCCTTATCACTCCCAGGGGACCTAGGCTTAAAAACTGGAGCTGTATGATTTAAAATGCCTTTTGTATTAGGCAGTACACTTTGCTCCATTTGTTCTTCCACTAACGCTAACTGATTGTTAGCATTCCCTTAACTATTTTCAACCTCCAAAATCTCAAACTTGTTATTTGTCTGTACCTGCTGAGGCACTACTGCATTATGTTTTTCAACTGGTATATTTCTTTAACAGTTTTTGTTCCTTCCACAGCCTGCTTGTCTTTTCCCTGAACTGTTCTATCCCTAACTTCCTTCCACTGAGCACCTAAATTGCCAACAACCTTCCCACTTGTTAGGATCATCATAGGAGCATTTTTCTTGTTATTCTCCTTGTTTTCTTGCACCCTATTAGGATCAACAGTCTGCTTCTCTTCATTCCTGTTTGCCATAAGTTCAGGATGCACCTTCCAACATTCCATTAAATCATGACCTTGCAACTTGCATTCCTTGCAATATTTAGGGAGATAATCGTATTTAATATTCACCCACTCAGACCTTATATCCCCAGTACTCTCATTGACAATATCCATCCTGACCTTCTTAGGGAGAGCAGCTAACAAGTCCACTAACACCTTTACACGTGCACAACTAGGTCTTGTTTTATTTACTGTAGCTTGATCAAGATGCTGTTCCCACAGCTGAAGACAGTAAAAATAAACACTCTTTAACAAAGTAGGTAGGAAACAAGTTTGGGAATGAAATCCAGGTCATTACCTTGGGTGTCTCCTCTCCAATTTTGAATTTAGAATCATAGATCAAAGTACGCAATTGATATTCCTCTCCATATTTTTCCTTAACATAATACACTCCTTTAGAGGAAAAATTAACATAATCTTGCCATAATGTAAACCTTACCAAAACATGTCTGTCCCTCAAGTAACCAATATTGCATTCACCCTTAATTCCACATTGCATTGGGATAATACGACGTAATTCATTGATTTCAGGCCATCCATGTGAAAATTTGCATACAACTGCATATTTCAAGCCTTCTATAATGTTCATACGTTCAACTTCAGATTCAGTAAAACAAATGAGAGACTGTCCTTGAAAGAACTTTGCTCGCCTAGGCACAATTGGTTCGACAGCTGCTGCATGATCATGCATGAGAGTTTTAGTTGACGTAGGACTCACTGCTTTTGCATAGTTCATGGCTTGTGGATCGTTTGTAGTTGTTGAATGCTGGGGATTGGTTGTAGGAGGCTGGGCAGAGGTGGGAGGAGGCTGACCAGCCGGAGAAAGTGGCTGGCCGCCGGCCGGCGAGGCCATGGAAGCAAAATCGCGTATTTTCTCTCTCTAGGAGCAAAAAATCGCCAGCCGTGAGGGTTTTTCTGTCTAGGTCTCTCCCTGAGATATTACAACTTATTTAGATTCATTTCAATTCCACTTTCTATCTTTTTTGCTTTTTTTTATTTCTATGGATATATAAATTTCTACAAGATTAAAGACCCATAGATTATACTGGATCTAAAGTAACATAACAACATGACTAAACTTTAATCCAAAATAATTGATAGGAGTATAACATATATGGATCTTTCTTTTCTATTCTGTCCTATCTTTCGCTAAGTCACAGAGTTTCCAGGAGATTGTCGATCCTATGAGACAACTTCTACTTACGTAATTTTGGGTCTAATTATCCTTTTTAACACCATCAATCACTATGCTCTCTTACCTTTCCACCGATGCCTCTAGAGGTCGATGTAGGTTAAAGTTGGTCATTTGCTTTATTATTTTATTTTTTGTCATCTTAAATTGCTTCATAAAACGTGAAGTATAATAGAAATAATTGCTATATTTAAAACTGTCAAACTCCAGATTAGTTTTTATTGCCCATCTCGTTACTTGTGAATGCCACTAGGGATGTTGTTGCGTTATCAAGGATAATTAGATGATAGAGATATTTGTGAGGCATGTATGCTAAGAAATCGTCTCACCTTGAACATCTTTTGTTCTGTCTGTTTTAATTCTTTGGAATGCTAACCTAAACTTAAAATGACAAGGTGTCCTTAATCCTGGAATGTGCTGTCTTTGACTTGGTACAATTCAAAACTCTAATCAACTTTGATTCTTAATGAACATTAATTGTGTGTCACTTACATGTCCTTCTTTATTGGAGTTATTGCTTATAAAAGCAAGTCAACTCGAGTCGTGTTATGACTTTTCAAATAAAGGAACAGAGTGTGAGAAATGTGAACGTAATTATAAGTCCTTAAACGAGGACATTTAATTTCTTTTCTTGTATAGCCAAAAAAAACCTTCTTTTCACCCTAGGCCTACTAGGAGATTGGGAACAACGTGTTCAAGTGACATCGAACCATTAGGTCAAGAAAATAGACTTGAGATTAACTATTAGGTGAAGTAACAAGAAAAGGATATATTAAACATAAGCAACAGAAAAATATACAAGGTAAAATAAATTACTACCTCCGGTCCCAAATATTGGGCAAATTGAACTTTTTAAATAGGCTCCTGTATTGGGTGATACCCTTTTTTGCTTGAGCCCGACCGGGTTGGGTCCGGTCCGGAGCAAATCGGGGCCATCGAACCCGACCTGGATGCAAGGTAGAACGACGGCCACGTCTACAACCGAGGTCGAGTCATTTCGAGACCGTTACAGAGCTCGATAGGAGTCACCACCGGATGGAGAAACACCCAAGGTCGGAAGCCGGACTCGTAACGGATAACCAAGCGTCGCCGGATATCTCGCCCAAACGTGATTTTCTCAACCACTTCAGGCCATTAAGGCGTAATTACAGGGATCCACGATGTAATCAATTTACCTACCTTATTTTTACCCTTAATCAGAAGGTATAAAAGGGGATCTCTCTAAATTCTTGTGGATAATCAAGCACAATTGTTCTAAGCAATATTATATTCTGCGATTATTTACTTTAACAAGCAATTGTTGAGTCTTTATTTTTATTTTCCTTAACCTAAAAACCTTTTGTATCTTTTAGTTCACGGATCCTTAAAACCCCATATAAATTCAATTGTTATCCGGATTCGAGGGTAAACAGCTCCTTTTAAATATTTGACGGTTTAAAAAAGGCAGAATAGTCTAAATGGCACTTATACTTGTGCCACTTTGTCATCCCGGTCCCCAAACTTAATGAAGTTTCATCTAGACACCTCTACTCGTTTAAAAGTAATATTTTAAACCCTTCTGACCGTGTGTGTTCCTTAATCGTCTCACTGTATTATCCACGTCAGATAAAAATATTCCATGTCATTATTTTTATTTACAAAAACTATTTTTGGAAAAGAAAAAGTTGAATCCTAAAGTTTTCTCTCACAAGCACATTCATGCCTTTCTCTCTCTGAGAATCAGCCATTAGTAAGGACTGAGTTTCCTTGATTCAAGAAATGCAGGTGGGAAGTTGCAATTTGAGAGGATTGAGGGAATCAAACCCAGATTACAAGTTCTGGAGGAGCATACTGGAAGAAGAAAAGGCAAAAACATCTGGTGAATCAAAAGAATCAGGGCCAAGATTAGCCCACTTGAGCTTCCATGCCCATCCCACCAACGCCCCAACAAGAACAGCAATCTATATGAACCCCACAAACATCACTAGCTCTAACAATACCTCCCCAAAACTAAGTCTTTCTAAAATCTCAAGTACAGCCGCTACCAAAACCATAATAACAAGCAAAAAAAAAAAGAAGAAAAAGATACAATCCTCAATACCACCTTTGAGCACGGCGTCAAAAAAGAAGGAAAAGATGAGAGGAGAAAGGGGTAGAAGGACTGGAGATTGGAAGACGCTTGAATGCTTCTGGGCGTTAACCCCCCTTTATTTTTTCTTTTCTTTTTATTTTTTGGTATTTTTAATTACAATCA